CCTGAGTACACAACAGTATCACATGGGATTCTCTCAGTTCCTGCCTGCACACAAGCACCTGTGTAGCCAGAACATCCTGAAGAGAGAGGCCAAGTATTGAAGAGGACATCAAGATAAAAGGAGGCCACCATGCTAAGTGGCTCTGCAGGCACCTCACAACAACCTCCCCTCCCCATTCTAGATAGAGGAAACTGGGCACCAAGGGCAATTATGTCCAGCGTCACAATCATGAGGTAAGGCATGCACTCCAGGCCTATGCTCTTCATCCCACTTATCAGTGCCCTATGATACCACGCAATGGGTGCTTAACAAGGTCAACATCATTTTTCTTGGCCACACAAAGTAAAGCCAAAGAAGAAAAAGAAAAAACAATGACAAAATAGGAAAACATATTGCTCAATGAGCACCTGAGAGGTAGTGATGGTCAGTGTGTGACCTTGGACAAGTTACTTAGCCTCTCTGTGCTTAAATGTCCTCACCTACAAATGGAATGAATAATTCTAACATCACATGGGGTTGTTACAAAGATAAAAGAGTTGATCTACATAAGGCTCTCAGAAGGACGCCTGGCACGGAGTAAACACTTGATGAATGTCAACTATAACTAGCATCCCTGTGCTCTAAGTGCTATGCAAGGTCCTTTAGAGATATTGTCTCTAATCACAAAATTGCAGAGGGCTATTCTAATCTTCCCATCTTTCAGATGACAAAACCCATTCTCTGGGAGCAGAGGTGACTTGTTTGAGTACATTCAGTTAACAACTGTTAGTCAGAATGTGTGTTTATCTGTAACTTTAAAGCTTAACCAAGAAGGACTAGTGAAAAAGACCAGTGAATACAGATTTCTGGCGGATGGGGTAGAGATCTCAGGAATGGATGCGTGGAACACATGTACCCAGTGAAAGCCCACCCTGGGTCCCTGTATCTTTTAACTGAACCTCAACAGTCTCAGCTCAAAAAGCCTTAAAGAAAGACAATCCATGACCTCATCAGGGCCAGATGCCCAGCTCAGCTTCCCTCTTCTCTTCTTCCAAACTGTCACTAGGGTCTTTAGGCCACCACTTTCTTCAGCTCCCGCCCTCATCTTTTTCTCCTTCCCCTCCATCTCAGGCACACTGGGTAATCCCTCCATTGAGGCCCCAGGAAGAACCTCTCATTGTCGTTCATCATTCACCACTCCCCACCGACACTCCAGGGCACCTCACAGGATCTGCTCAGGCCTCATCAGATCACCAGGAAACCCTCCCTGACCAAGAAAGACACCCTTGTTCAGCCCTCACAGCCCCTGGCTCATCTCCACCCAGAGCTTGTGTGCCAACCATCTCACCATCTGAGACAATTGTGAGCAGCAATGTCCTAAACCAGGCACACTGTCTGGCACATATCAAATGCTGCCACAAATACTTGCTGAACTGATGATTAAATAGGCAAGAGGGGAACACAGAGACTGATAGGAATCTTAAAAGCAGAGATTCCTGTGGATATTTTGCATAATGGAAGTCAGAGTGAGTCAACGTCTTCCTAGAAGCAAATTGCTCACCCATGTTAAATAAATGAACTCTTCAGAGCCATTTGGGTCCTGTTTCATCAATCACCTATTCCCCTGCGTTGAATCATGACCCATTAGAATGAAGTCATTTGGCTCCCTCAGCAGAGCTGACAACCCAGTAGATCTCCTCAGCTAGAGGCAGAGGGCCAGGCTGCACCCCACCACTGCAGAGGGGTGGGGGAGTAGTGAGAAGCACCTGCTCAGCAGAAGCCACTCCCCATCCCCCCAGCCCCTCCAAACAAGAAGCAGCTCACACAGCAGAAGATGACTAATAACTGCCACACATGTATTGTGTGTCTGATTCTGCAATATGTTCTCCACAGCCCCTGGCATGGCCAACTTATTTGCTACCATTCCCCTCACTAATCTCAGAATGTCCCTGAAACACAGGGGCAAGTCCCAAGAAACACCTCTCCCTCGTAAGCCACACCCTGGGCCCATGTCAAACCAGTACAATTCTCCCCAAGGAATTCCATGTTTTAGAAAACAACACCAGATATCTGTTACTTATGAGACAGAATCCAGAACCCATGATTTCTGCCCTTAAGGTCCATGGAGTTGCTATGGTTTTCCCCTCCAAGGTGTGGCTCCTCAGCCCCTGCCTGGTGTCTGTGAGAACCTCCAGCTTGTTTCCAGTTAAGACCTGTTCCAGGGTTGTTTTGCTTGCACTACTCCATGTTGGTTTCTGTAGCTTGCAACCCAAGGAACTTTAACTACTCCACCTCCATAATTTCTAATCCTCCCAGAAGGAAAGCTCCCCACTGCAAAGTAGAAAGGCATGTTTCAAAGAGATTTAATGACCTGTCCAAGGTCACAGAGCTAGTAAATAGGACTGGCATTCTCGTCCCCAAAGCAGGGGCACTTCCTATTCTGCCATTGTTTCCTTAATGACTTGAAGGAAGCACATGAAATGTTCAGACCACAGTCTGAAAAGGCAGGACACATGTAAAGAGAAAGCCTGTTAGATCACTTCTTGCTAATAAGGGCACTTCAGTGGCCTGGTAGATAGATGGTGTCTATTTCAGTAGCTATGTCACAGTCCTGCAACAAACACATTTATTTTAATTCTCAGAAAATTCAGTAGCAATGTCCCAACCATGTCAATAACTGAGCTATAAATCTCTGGCTGTAGCAAGTCACATATGGTCAGTGTGTGTTACTCTATCTTCTTCAATCCCCTGATCATCTACCATTGATTCTCAGGATCACACAATGATTAGAAAGAAAGCAGACTGCCCAGAGTCTACGGAGACATCACCATAGCCTCAAGCTCTTTGTAGAAATGGACAGAGGATAAATCCTAAACCAACACAAAATGGCCAAGGGCAAAGCAGAAGAAATCCACATTTTTTACAAAGAAAGAATTACAATCTGAAAAGCAAACTTTCCTTGGGGGTAAAGAACAAGAATCATAAGGCTGCAACAGTGGGGATTTCTTTTAAATTGACATCTAGAAATTTACAATTTTTTTTAAGTGGTGCTGGGGTTTGAACTCAGAGCTTCACACTTGTGAGGCAGGCCCTCTATCACTTGAGCCACACCTCCAGCCCTTTTTGCTCTGGTTATTTTTGAGACATAGTCTCACTTTTTGCCTGGGCTGGCCTGGACAGTGATTCTATTTTGTACTTCTCACTGTAGCTACACAACCCCATCCCACCTTTTCCTGTTGAGATGGGGGATCTTGTGAACATTTTTGCGTGGGCTGGTCTGGAACAGAAATCCTCCCCATCTCAGCTCGGATGGCAGGGCACACCACTGCACCCAGCTACTGGTTGAGATGAGGGCTCATGAACCATGGTCCTCCTGATCTCAGCCTCCTAAATAGCTAGGGTTACAGGCCTGAGCCACTGCACCTGGCAGAAACTGACAATTCTTAAGCAATAATTTATAATTCTTTATCCACAACTGCAACTAGCCTTGCAGAAGAAGTTATTCCTGTATATTCCACAGTCATTTAAACATCACTACAATCTGGAAATCACCAAAATGCCTATGCAATGGTTTTACACTTGTGGAACATGCAGTACAGACATGACAAAGAAACTGAAAGCAAATGGTACACATGGTACAATTAGTTAAATTAAGTTTTAAAATACTCAGCCTATTCAATATGTCTAAAAAAAAGTGTGTTCAACAAAAACTTTATATATAACTAAAATATAATTCAAAGCAGTGAATTAGTGAAGATGTTTCTCTAAAAAGAAACCTGGAGGCTGCTATCTTGTTTCCAAAAAAACTGCCTTATTACAATTTAATGTGCATCTTAACAGCCCAACTAACTGTGATCAAAATCAAATAACTAAATACAAGTACAATCAAAAAATGTTAGCTCCCTAAGACTTAGCTAGGGATCCCTAGGACCCACCTCATGATCTAGTAACTAGTGGAGTGCTTCCCAGCACAGGGCAGGCCTCCAGCACCCCACTTCAGCCCTACCACCTGAGTCTGTTCTCATGGCTGATGCCCATGCTATACCAGTTATTATTTTGAGAATCATCTCTCACAAAACCACAAGTCACAATCAGAGCCATTCACCAGAGAACTAACTTGCCTGAGAGTTCTCTGTCTTCTGCACTTATGAACTTAATTAAAGACAGATTTAAAAAAAAAACTTAGTCTACAGTTAACACCTTTTCTTTCTCATATCTGCCTCACTGTATCCTTCATTCACTCAATTAACATGTACATAGCCAGAAGCTGGACTAAGCATTGAACTAGGGTGAGTGCCAGTTCTTCCCCCCCATGAAATGCCTGCCCCCAGTGCTGTACAGGGGCTCGAGTGAGAGGAAACAGAAAGGTGGGGTCTGTAATACCAACACAAGGAGCTCAGGCTACAATGGAGGGGCTTGTAGACTGCTGTAGGCCAGAGGAAAAGGAAGCCTCACAGCTCAGAAGGGTCTGGTTGCCACAGGGAGGTGACCCTAGAGAGCCACCTGCAGGGATACACAGGAGTTAGCAGGTAAAAAATAAAAAAAAACCATGTGGGCAGATGGAAGGGCACAGGCAAAGGCAAAGAAAGGTAGAACATGGAGTTTTCAGGAATCTGCACAGTTGGCTATTACTCAAACTGAAAGGAAATGAGAAGGGGAGTATAACATGGAGCCAGCGTTGGGCCTGTTATGCCATTTGTTTCGTGCATTTGAGCAGGAAAACTTCTTCCCCACTTGGATCACACAGTTCTTGAGAGGTGACCCTTGATAGAGCAAACAGAGGCTACTCGTTAACAAGCTGTGATTTCTCAGTTTCATGTGCAGTGCAAACACTAGTGCTCAGCTGAAGGATCCCAATCTGTGGGGCGGCTGGACAGAGAACTCCTTGTCCTACCTGTTGTAAGCTCAATTATCAGCAAGAAGGCATTTGAGGATTCCTAGATCAAAGGAGTTAACATATATGTTTCAGAAGAGAATATGAATACATTCACATGTGAACATCCAATTTCAGTCAAGCTTGCCTCAGAGAAGATGAGTTTGCAGCCTGGTGACTGTTCAGAAGAGCACTTTTCTGTTATTAAGCCTTTGCTCCCAAACTTGAGATCCTCCGCAGTCATTAAATAACAGTTCTGCTGTATTGCTCCCAAATCTTTTTCACTGAATTTCTAAGGAAATGAAACAAATCATAAGAAAGTTTTCATCAAGAAAAAATATTGAGAGATTTTCCTAAACTCTTTAAGAGAAGATATTTTATTTTGTCACAATACTCTATGTCCCCTAAATAATTTCCATAATCTCGAAATATTAGGCAATTACAAAGCTATAATGCAACTCCATTTGAATGTTATTACAACTTGGAGAACAGCAGCATGAAGGAAAGCAGAGCCAAGGGTGGTGGCAGTCACTATGAACTTTCCTTACTTGCCACACAGCACTTCATTGGTGTGGAAGGCAATACCCAGGCTCTGACCCAATGGAACTGCTCCCAAGCCTGGGTCCACCCTGGTCACAATGTGATCCCCAGGTCCACTGCCTATCCTACCACCGTCCTGGGATGATTAGAGGACTTATATATTAAAACCCAACTATCTCAGTCTCTCTTAAACCATTACAAATTGGATAAAACTCGAACCCTCCACCACATCCATGAGGAAATCTGACTTCCAGGAAAAAAGCCAACACTCCAAATATGGTCCCACATGAAAGGCTCTTTCTTTATGACACACAATACAATTCCTCAACCTGACCCCTCAGAAGATCTTAATCTAACAACATATCAGTATTTCCTGGTCTTTAGCCAAATTCAACCACAGGGCATATTCCAAAGCATTTAAAACCTGATGACTTCTAAATTAGGATCTGAATGTTCACTCTCCATGGGAAATCAAGGGCAGGAACCACATCTTACCCCTAAACACCTCACAGAATTAGTTTGCCAGGTCAAATATATGTAAGAAATTAGGTGCACACAAAGAAAGAGGAAGCAAAGGTAATTCTTTGTAAGACCCATTGAACTATAATAGGAAGAACTAGGAATCAAAAAGCCAACACTGTCTGTCTACAATTGCCTCAATACAGCTGTGTTGAATTACTTTTTTTTTTTTTTTGGTGGGACTCAGAGCCTCATGCTTGCTGGGCAGATGCTCTACCACTTGAGCAATTCCACCAGCCCTTTCTGTGTTGGGTATTTTTGAGATAAGGGTCTCTCGGGGCTGGCTTCAAACCAAGCTCCTCATGATCTCTGCCTCTTGAAGAGCTAGGATTACAGGAGTGAGCCACTACCACCTGGCCGAATTACACTTCTTGTTTTACTTTTTTTTTAAGTCCAGTTACATACATATAATTTAACAGTCAAACAGCACTATAAGGCTTAACCAGCTACCTCCCAGTTTCTCACCTTGAAGTCCCACTCCCAGACAAAAACACCTTGCAGCTCTTTAGATACTTCTTCTGCTATTTACTTCTGTACTTCTACATTATATCTTACTCTCACACTTCTTGATTTTTTAGGTTTCAATTTTATCTATTGGCTCCTATCATAGAAGTTTAAAGATTTAGCTCTATAGTCATCTGCACGCCAACATTTTTCCTAATAATGATGCAATTTTAAATCAATATTCCACATTTATGTTATTGTAGCCATGCACACTATTCTGGCATGCAGTATTAAATGAATGCATTTCCATTCATATTCAATTCTTTGCCTTTCTTGGATTTAGTGACTGTTTTATTCTACCTATTTATTTAGTTCATAAAACTAAATTCTGTACTAAATATAAATTTTCTTCAAACTCTCTGGAAAAACTTAAAATTCCCTCTCAGTGGAGTCAAACGTGTCAGAAATCGATTAGTTCCATTATAGTTTCTTGGAGCAGTCCCAGCTGACTTACATCATCTGCACCCCAACAAATGACTTACCTGCTCCTCAACTGCCCAAGCCTGGGATCTCCAGCAAGCTTAGCCTCGCAGCCATCACCCTGGGACTTCCCTTCACCACAGTCCAGGGGAATTCCCTACTTCCTGTATCTCATGTCTCTCTCTTTGGAGCATTACCTTATTTATATGGAATCAACCTCCAAGAACTTCTTTTTTTTTTTTTTTTTGTTGCTCTTGGAGAAAAGTGTTTATTCACATCCTTTGCCTGTTCTTTATTGGCTTATTTTCTGACTATTAAATTCTGTTCATACTTATTTTTTATATTAACCTCTTATCATATCCATGGTGCACAAATACTTTCTTCCAATCCATCTCATTGATTCTTTTGCTGTGCAATAATTTTTGAGGCTGATGAGTCCACTTGTTCATTTTTGCTTTGTTGCCTGTGTTTTTGGTGGGATATCCAAAAAAAAATTATTGTCAAGGCTAATATCAAGTAGCCTTTCCCCTATGTCTCTTACTAAGGGTTTTACAGTTTCGAGTCTTACATTTAGGTCTTTTATCCACTTGCCAGTGGTGGGGGGAGAATTGTACATAAAAGGAACATACATTTTGAGTTGATTTTTGTATATGGAGTAAGATAAGGGTCCAGTTTCATTCCTTTGCATGTGAATATCCTGTTTTCCCAAGATCATTTATTGAAAAAACTATCCTTTTCCTGTTGCGTCTCCTTGGTGATCTTGTCAAAGATCAGTTGACCAACTGGGCATGGGTGGCTCATGCCTGTAACCCTAGCTACTTAAGAGGGTGAGATTGAGAGTATCAAGGTTCAAGGACAGCCCAGAAAAATAGTTTACAAGACCCCATCTCCAAAAAACACCAGAGTGAAATGTACTGGAGATGCAGCTCAAGTGGTAGAGCGCCAGCTTTATAAGTGTGAAGCTTTGAGTTCAAACCCCAATCTCACACAAAAAAAAATTAGTTAACTATACATCCAAGAACTTCTTACAGAGTACACAGGAAGCAGATGATTGAAGACACTGAGCATCTGAAAGTACTGTATTCTACCCTTGCACCTGCTGATAGCTTGGCTGAGGACAGAATGCTAGGTTGGAAATCACAAAAAGCACTGCCCCTCTGTTTTCTGATCCAAAGTTACTGCTGAAGATTCTGGTGCCACTCTATGTACATGGCCTACATCATCCTCTCTCTGGAAGCCTTTCAGAACCTGTCTTTATCCTTATGTTCTTGCAATTTTGCAATGAATTGATTTGGGTCCTTTCTTTAATCTCTTGTGCTAGAAACAGAGCAGGCCCTCACAATACAAACTTGTAATACAAGTTGTCCTTCCATTATAGAGAATGGCCTCCTACTACTTGGAAGTTTTCCGTCCCCCTACTCTTATTTTCCTGGAACTCCTGTCAGTCATATTTCAGACCCCTTGAATCACCTCTAACATTCTCATTTTTTTTCTTTCCTTTTTTCCTATGTTTTTGCTTATTTTTATTTTCTGAAAAACTCAACTTTATCTTCCAACTTTTCTAACTCTTCTAGCAAGCATTTTATATCTGCAATCATACTCCTGAATTTCCAGTAGGTCATTCTTCTTTTCTAGATATCTCTTTTTTATCTGATAAAAAAGAACATTTTCTTATAATGTTATGGTGATGAATTTTTTGGATTTCTACAAATTGTCTAATTTTGCATTATTTCTACACCTTTCTTCTGTCTGTTTGGGCTTTTGTCTTTTCTCCTATTTGATAGACTCAGGCCATCTACCTACTTTTAAGGGTTAAAAATGCTCAGAAACTCTGTGAGTGTGGAAAGAACATATCAACTGTGGCCTTACTGTGAGATGCTCAGGTGGGGACCTGGCTGTTGGGATGGAGAACTCTCAACTGTCAACATCTTTCTTTCTCCCCTAGGAAAATCTCACTGCTTGGTGTACATACTTCTATTCCCTCCCCATTTTCATTCAAATGATCCATTTCTGCTTTCAGTTTTATCTGGTGACCCCCAGGACACAGTTTCTCTGGGTTAAGGTCTCCAGAGATCTGCTACAGATAAGAGGGTCACCTTGTAACTGCTTAGAATGCCAACTAAATCTCCTGTTTGCAAAGGTACTAGTTGCATCCAATGACACAAAGCCTTTCTGAGATTGTAGCATAAATCAGCTTGCTTCTTGTTGGTTTTTCATCACTGTGTAGCACCATGACAAAAGCTGAATCCTATGCAGGTACCACTTGCCCTTATCATCCAAAACTTTATTGCCAACTCACATTTGCTGTTGTACCTGCTCCCATTCTCCTAGTTAGTTCTTGTGGATTTATACCTTCTTATTCCTTCACTATTATTTTAATGAGGTTTCAGAAAGAAGCAGAGTTAGACACGTATGTTCAATTCATCATGGTTACCTGTAAATTTGAGTTCAATCTCAAAAATTCACTACATGACCAAACAAGAAATGTATTCCAAGACTGAGAGGAACAATTAGAGATGTTCTTAAGACAGAAGGGGCATGGCCCACATGGGGCACAGCAAGCACTCATAGGATAAGGACTTTGATCGGTGGGCTGGGGATGAGCTCTTCCCTTCTCCTAGCTTTCTGCTTCTCCTACCTCCCTGACAGCTGAGGCCAAGTGACATAAAGAAAGCTCTACAGTGCTGTGGAACACAGCAATGAAGATTATAATCATAAACATTCCTGCAAAAACACGCTAACTGAAAAGATTTAAATACCAAAGAAAAAAGTTATGGTACCTGAAGCATCAAGTCCTTTTGACTGGCACTTTCTGTCAGATGTTTGATTACTTGCTCTTGACTATGCAATTTTTTATTGCTTTCACTCAGAAGATTCTTGTAATGATTCTCCATTGCTTTCTCTCTTTCATTCACTTCATTGCGTAATTTTTCAATTTCATTTTTAAGGTCCTACCAGAAGAAAAAAAATGGAATTTACGTGACAAAAAATTCAAGGTGACAATCTCTTCCCATTTGACTTTTCAAATTATTGTTATAAGACAACAAGCTAATAGATGTATTTAACAAATATGTACTTTCATCTCACATCTTACTTACAAAAACCCAACTTTCAAAATATCTGAAATGCAGGGAAAGCTTTATGCATACATTTTTAACATAGTATTATTTATAATGCAGAAAACCCAGAAAGAAACTAACTAGATAACAAAGAGAAAATTATGAAGAGTACCGTATTTTTAAAAGTACAATTATGAGTAAAAACAAGCCAGGATTCCAAATTGTATATATAACATGATGCTGACTGTTGTATAAATATTTATACAAATGTTGTAAGGCCCTGAGCGAACACATCAAAATAATAACAGTATACCTAATCAGAGGGATTTCTGGGTGCTTTTCAATTTATTTTTACTTTTTTTTCCTCTGAGTTTCTAAAATCTCTTTTACGTTTTTTTCTCTGAGTCTCTAAAATAATAAATAATCTTGTATTACTTTCATAATCAGAAAAAAATTATCTTAACATGATTTATAAAGAATTTATAATAATACAGAAAATGCAGCAGCATCAGGTAAGACTGTGACTATGTTAAAATATGTACTATTTGTAATATTGAAGCACTATTCACAATAGCAAAAGGCTGTAAACAACCCAAATGTCCACCAATAGAGGAATAAGCTATGGTACATTCTCACAATGGAGCACTGTTAAGCTATAAAGGAAAAGGAATGAGGACTCTCTCTCTACAAATAGTCTGCCCTAAAGTAATCTCCAGAATATATTAAATGGAGGTGAGAGGAAGGGGGAACCCAAAAGAAATAAGTATGGACGCACACTGCCATCTATTTAGCCATAAAACAAATTAAATGGCTGCTTATAAGAAGCATGAGAGAACAAGGTAGAAGAGACAAAATATGGAGGGTAGAACTCACTCCAGAGATGTGACATTGGAACCGGTTAAATGTTTACATAATTGTCTCAAAAATAAAATTAAAATCCCCTAAAGTTGAAAGCAGAGCAAGCAAACAAATAAGTCTAACTTTTTTTAAGTTCACTGAGCAAACAGAGGAATTATTTCAGTAACTTGCAGATATAATAATTTGTACATCCTTACTGAGATATTTCTCTGGGTTTTGTTTTTGCACTACTGGGATTTGAACTCAAGGCTTTGCACTTGCTAGCAAACACTCTGCTAGTTGAGCCACACCTCCAGCCCTTTCTGTTTAGGTTATTTATTTATTTTTGAGATAAGTCTCAGGAATTCTTTACCCAAGGCCAGCAAGGGCAAATTCTTGTACCTATAGCCTCCCATGTAGCTGGGACCACAGTCATGAACCACCACACTTGGCTTATTTGTTGAGATGGGGTCTCACTAACTTTTTGAAAACCTTAATCCTTCCGATCTTCATCTTCCTAGTAGCTGGAACTATAGGCCTAAACCACTGTACCCAGCACATAGTGAGATATTTCCCTAAAGACAATGGACTGCAAAAATCTTACTATTTCCAGTAAGCATGTTGTAAGTAATGATACTGCTTTTCTAAAACTGTGTGGATATGTATAACATACATTTATTAATTAAGTAATTATCAATCTCGTAAGAACCAAAACTTTAAGCATAAGAGAAAACACACACACACACACACACAAAGGTAAAACTTGCTGGATGTTGTGGTACATGCCTTTAATTCCAGCTACTCAGGAGGCAGAGACAGGAAGATAAAGAGTTGGAGACCACCCAGCCAAAGTTAGGGAGACCGCATCTCAAAAACAAAAGGGCCAGGGGAATAGCTCAACTGGTAGATTACCTAGCAAGTATGAGGCCCTGGGTTCAATCCCCAATACCACAAAAAAAAAAAAGCTAAAACTTGTCATTCTAAATTTGAATTTAAAATGGCAGTGTACACTGATGTTTTATTTCCTTCCTTCCAGTGAAATAAGCCAGACCCACTGTCCTCCCTGTTATCCAGAATGTAATCATAAGCTACCACTTCCTACCAAAGGAATAGTATTCCTGCACTTCTCAAAGTACAGTCCTAAAACTGCACAAGCAGTACCACCTGACAACCAAATATGCAAATTTGAGGCTCCTACCAGGCCTATCAAATCCAAGACTCTGAGGTAGGTAGACCCTCAATGTGTGTTTTAAGAGGTCCTATGGGTAGTTCTGACACACACTGAAGTTTGCCTCGGAAAGGAATGGCTGAGACCTGGGGCAGGAATGTACAAGGTGAGTTCAGACATTTGTTCATATCCGAAAGGAAGGAAGCTATCAAATACTACAGTGTTCACATGTACTCAAGTAGTTCACATGTAGTCGAGAATCAACTAGAAAAAGCTTTCCCCACTGTTGAGAACAAAGAAATCTGAATTTTACTAAGGATAACAGCAATGAATTAAAATACAACAAAAATCCAAAGTCAGTTGTAAGGATATGGCTAAGAGGCAGAGACAGGCTTAGCATGCACAAGGCCCTGGCTTCCTCAACCCATAGCAAAAAAAATGAAAGAAAGAAAGAAAAGAGGAGGAAGGGAGGGAGGCAGGAGAGGAAGGAAGGGCCAAACTCCATGAATGCTTACAAAAAGAAAAAAACATTTTTAGTTAATCTGATAGGCAGAATAATTGCCCCCACCAAAAATGTTTACATTTTAATCCCCAAATGTCAAAGAAGAATAAAGGTAACAGATGGAATGAGAATTGCTAATAGTCAGCTGACCTTAAAGTGAAAATGTTACCCTGGATGGTCCAGGTAGGCCCAATATAACCACAAGGATCCTTCGAAGTGAAAGACAGAAGCAGGACAAGGCTCTATCAACCACTGCTGGTTGTGAAGACGGAAGAAGCCGCCTGTAGGAGCTGGAACAGACAGGGAGATGGATTCTCCCTGGAGCCTTCAGGAGGAACACAACCCCACTTCCACCTTGTCTTAGCGAGATCTATTTCTGACTTCTGATTTCCGGAACTGTAAGATTCTAAATTTGTGTTGTTGAGCCGCCCAGTCTCTAATAATCTGTGGGTAGCAGCAACATGAAGCTAATAGCCTTTGGGAGATGCTACAGAACTGTTATATTTTGTTTTCCTGTATGAACTGCACCTCTGGGTAACTAAATAGATGCTGAGACACAAGTATCTCTTTACAGAAGTATTAAGCTATAAAAGAAGGAATAATGGAATTAGACTGTCATCATTTTGCAAACAATCATCAATGGCCAGTAATATCACAAAACCAGGGACTATCAAATAATTTGGAAGAAACAAAGAAAACACTGCAAAAATGTTAACTTTTTTCTTGAGCAAAAAAATGAGATTGTCCTAAACCTTTAATCTAAACCAACTAGATCAAGAGTCTTTCATGAAATATAAATAGTAAATAGAAATTCAATCCCAGAAGAGAAAAGAAAAAATACGAATAAGATTGTCCCTTGGCTCCAGGGCCCCTAGGGGTTGCCAAAATCAGATGTTCAAGTACCTTATATAAATGGCATACTTGAATATAACCTGCACATACCCTCCCATATACTTTAGATCATCTCTAGATCACCTACAATACTTAATACAATGTGAATGCTATATAAGTAGTTGCTATACTATATTGTTTAGGGAATAATGACAAAGAAGTCTGTACATGTTCAATACATGTTATACCACCATATAGTCAAGACAACAAATTGAACCATTTCCAAGTTGTGAATGCTCCTTTCAGTTCTTGTTCATCTGCAGCCACAATACATAATTTTATGTAATTTTAATGCCCTTGGACCTCTTCCCATTTTTGTTTATTCCATTATACCATGACCTACAAAAAACATATAGCAACTAAATAATGAGAACATAAGAAGAACAAAAAGGAAAGTTTAACTAAAGGGAGGTTTTTGTTAAGTAGAGAGATGAAAAAGGTTCGCAGAACTGCTGTAACTGAGCTTCCACCATTGTTCTGCTATCCATTCAGCCCCAAAGAAAGGCACGACAGCTCCCTCTGTGAGACTCCACAAAATCTTCTTAGCTAGCATAGCAGTTTAAATACAGGTGTCTTAACTCGCTGATCTCCCCAGTCTCTAACCATTTGCTCTTAGACAAAACAAATAGCTCTGTGCTATTATAGTTTGTTTGGGGTTTTATTATTATTATTTTTCTCCTAACTTCAGATTTGAATTCTCAGTTAAATCTTCAAGAGTAGAATTACCAGGTCAAAGGGTAAGCATGTTTTGAGGATTCTTTTCACAAACTTTCTTTAAAAAGACAGAAAGCTAAATGGCTAAAATGCCACCCACAAAGTCTAAGTTTCTGGTCACATTCTCACCAGAAATGTTTTCTTAAACATTTCCTAACTTAACTGCTATGAAATGGTTCTTTACATTTCCTTGATTGTCAACTGTTTCTACATATTCGATCACTGTTTGGATTTCCTGTTGTGCAAACTGTCCTTGCTCACCAGGAATGACAATATTTTCAAGAACAGTTCTAAAAAAAGTGATCTCTCAAGAATCAAGTAAGTGATCACCTAAGATTGTGTATGCACAAACATATACATACTTATTTCTCCCCACATCAGAACAGCTACAAGTTCATCTATTTTATTGAAGCTATTAATGAAGAGGGGTGAGGACTCACCTTACAATTATGTGAACTCCGTTATGTTTTTGCCTTTCATGACTATGCTTTAGCCACTGTTGCTGAGCAGGATGAACACACAAGTGCCAGAGGAGCCGCTGGGGCAGAAGGGAGGTAGTGGAGGGGGAGGGATTAGGGTCTATTAAGAGCAAAAGCTGTTGTGCTCAAGCACCTACTATGTTTCAGACCATGTGACAGACATACTTGTAGTTACACATTCAATCTTTACAAGCTATGCTGGCCCTCTCCTAGCTGCCCACCCTGTCCAACACTCACTGCCCTCTGCCTCCTGCTGCCCTCCCCCACTATCTCTTTTTGAAATACTAGGAATAGAACTAGG